GGGTTTGGAGGCCTTCACGAGGGACTTCCTTCGCGGCTTCGGGACAAATTGGACCAGAGATTAAAGGGATGGAGTTTAACTCCAGGTGACTACGTTCGTATGCAAATAGAATCTATAAAACTCTGCTTTCCGGGCTACTCTTAAAAGCCTTTACCTCCGGGTGGGCGGGAAGGACTACTGTTTCTCTTCCTCCTCTTTAATTTTCCCCCTGCTGAACAGAATGGCAAACTAAGCTCCACGCTATTGATGCCATTAAAGAAACTCTGAGACTCTTGACTCCTGGTGTCTTGAAGCCCTCTGTTTGAGAAACTCCTTACCCAGCGTTTTTCGCCTTCCCTTCTCCTCGGTTACCCTTGTCTGTAAAATGGGATTAGAAGAGGGACGAGGTCCAATCCGAAGATCCCAAACCCCTCACCTCCACCCCCACCCGCTCCCTGCCTCAGTTTCCCAGAGCAAGATGCCGGATTTTGTGGTCTCCCTTTTCCCGGCGGAGCACCTTCTGCAGCCACCAGGTGGCGCGAGGCCACCAGCCTCTGGGCCTGCCCAGGCGTCCGCCTTCAGCGACCCTGTCAGGAAAGGATTCATCCTGACTGCCTCCCCAGGTCTAACTAAGTCGTATCTGGCCTGCTGGAAGACAAAGAACAAGACCTCTGGTGCTTTGGCCTGCCTCCACTCTGCCAGGTCATGCCACAGCTTCCTCGTGGCTGCCCCTTCCTCATCACCCCCCTTGTCCCTCCCTGCCAATCCACTGGCTCCTGTCAATCCTTGCTTAATTTTTTTTAAATCCTTATCCTGGCATTTGCACCCCTGCCTAGTCTGACCCCTGTCCACATTTCTCATCACATACCTTCCCTCACCTGCTACACAGGATGCTTTGCAACGCTTCTTTGCAATTTGAAGGTGGCTGTTCCTTACCAACATTGGTTAATCTGTATTGTATCTTTAATCTGTGCTGGCCACTGTTTGATTTACCTTACCGCTATGTTGTTTAAACCTTACACCTGCTCTATGAGGTAGGTCTGATTTTGTCCCTATGATACAATGTTGAAGTCACCCAGCCAGCAGTGATGGGGATTCCAAACCCAACCCTGGCCCCTTGAAGCTGGCTTCACCGAACCCACCCCCAAACTCCTAGTCTTCTTTCAAGATCCTGTTCAAATATATCCTCAGGGACACCTTTTAAAATAGTTCCCACCAGGGGACATCTAGATCTCCTCTGTGTTCCCTTACAGCTTTGTTGAGCTAATTGCTTCCCTACTACCATTCCCCAGCCCCAGAAGCGAAGAAGCCTTTAGTGTGGTGGTGGTGTGAGGGGGAGGGAGGCAGAGGTCCTCTGGGTCATACCCTCAGCTCTGGGTTCTAAAATGTGTCAGGACCACATGGCTTTCCTAGGCCTTTCAGAACTTCCCTTTCTATCACAGTTCTCTGGAGGTAGTGAGTTCGTCTTCCCTGGAGATACAATCAGAGGCTAAATGGCACTGCAGAAACCTGAAAGCCAGGGGTTTCAGTGGTGGACAGATTCTAAGTTGACCCTCAAAGATGGGGAAAATTTCAGCCAAATACTTAGCCCTTGGAAGCAACTCCTCCTCCTCCTTCAGACTCCAGCTTTGTTGTCACTTCCTCTTAAAAGCTTTTCTAGACCTGACTAGTCAAATCCCTTTATTCTCTCATCATTTTAAGATAATGCTAAGCACAGAGCTTAGACATAGTAGACAATAAATAATTGATGAGTGGGGTAAAAGGATGAAAAGACAAATCTGACTTTTCTACTTAGTAACTGTGACCTTGAGCATGTTACATCTGATCCTCAAAGTCCTGGCTTCTCAGGGGGCGGGAAGGAATAGAGATTATTGCTACCTCACAGGATTGTTATGAGAATTAAATAATATAATACATGCAGGGGTGCCTGGGTGGTTCTGAGGGTTAAGCATCCAACTTTTAATCTCAGGTCAAATCTTGATCTCAGGGTCATGAGTTCAAGCCCCACGTTGGACTCTGTGCTGGGTGTGAAGCCTACTTTAAAAAAAATAAAAATAAAAATATGGGGCACCGGGGTGGCTCAGTCGGTTAAGTGTCCAACTTCAGCTCAGGTCATGATCTCACAGTTTGTGACTTTGAGTCCCTCATCAAGCTCTGTGCTGCCAGCTCAGAGCCTGGAGCCTGCTTCGATTCTGTATCTCCCTCTCTCTCTGCCCCTTCCCCACTCTTTCTCTCTGTCTCTCTCTCTCCGTCTGTCTCTCTCTCTCAAAAAGAAACATTTTTTAAAAATTAAAAAATAAAAACAATATGCATGCAGAGCAATTAATATTAGGTCTCACCTAATAAATGGGACCTGTTACTACTGTAAAAGAGCCATCCTAATTATCAGTTACCTCTCTTCTGAAAATGCTCCTTGTGAAGAGTCAAATACTATGAAACCTAGAAAGGTGAGGGAAATGACAATGTACCGAGACCCAGCCACTGTCCTAAACATACAGAGTGCTATGAGGTAGGCACCTATATGGGATGTTTTCCCTACAGTGTCTGCCCCACCCTACCCCCAATCCTGGGAAGTCAGTACTTTCTCTCAATTTACAAATGAGAAAACAGGCTCAGAAAGACATGGGGAAAAATCTATCACCACAGGACTCCTGACAGCAGGGCTGGAAAGGAAAGTATCCAAGGATAAGGAGGGATCTTCGGGGGAGTGGTCTTGAGGCCAGAGGCAGACAGACAAACAGGATGAACAAGGATACAGACAAGGATATACAACAGGGATATACAAACAAGACAAGGATACAGCTAAGGGCACGGCAGGTATGAGCCCCATTGTGGGTGCTTTCCCCTCCACCCTGTGGTGGTGGAGACTAATCCGATCAAATAACCACACAAGCCCACAAGTGCACATAAGTTCTACAACTGAGAACACACTTAGAAGATTCTAGTTCTGTGGGAATATGTGGCAGGTTCATTTTGGGTGGTGGTGATGATCAGGGAGGCTTTCTGGGATAAGGAACACTGAAATAAGATAATAAGAATGGGTAAGAGTGAGTGAGATTGAGCAGAGAGAGTTTCAGAAGGAAAGAAGAGCATATGCAAAGGCCCCAAGGCCAAGTGAGAACTTAGAGAATCTACTGTGACTGGAGCCTGCCTGCTGAGGGACAGAGGGGCCGGACAGAAAGGGTGAAAAGGAGGGAACAGAGACCATGAGGTCATGTTGTGGAACAGCCAGCAGGGGGCAGAGTTGGGGGGGGCATTGCCTTTTTCTTCCTGAGCCTAACCAGAGAGTCAGAGCCGGGCTGCATGGGGAGAAAGTTCTGAGAAAGGGAACCCCTACCCAGTTTTGTTTGCTTTAAGTACATTTTGTCTATTATTTGAGTAGATAGGACACACATTACAAAATTCCCAGATGCAAAAACGTATTCAATGAAAAGTAAACCTTTCTCCTCACTCATATTCCCAACAACTGTTTTCCCTCCTGAGCAACAACCACTGTAATGATTTATCGTGTGTCCATTCACAGATAGTCTATGCACATAAGAACACACACACCACATCTATATTTTATATTAATTTTGCCATGTCCCCAGATATCTAATTTGAAAGAGGCTAATTTGCACTGAATACCTGCAGCATGTGAGTCAGGGAGCACCAGACCTTATGCTTGGCCAGTCGTTCCTCAAACTAGAAGTCCCCTCGAGGGCTTATTAAAACACAGATTCCTGGGCCTCATCCCTAGAGCTTCTGCTTCCTTAGACCTGGAGTAGGGCCTGAGAATGTGCATATCTAAGTTCCCAGGTGATGCTGGGGCTGCTGGTCCTGGGACCATTCAGCTAGCTGCTCATGCACAAGGTATGTGCACTGTTGACTTATTTCTCTCCCACAAGGGAAGGCATAAAGGACACAAGGAAACACACATACCAACTAGAAAGAGTTTCATGCGGCGATAAATTCCATGAAGGAAATAAAGAGGGGAGGGGGTAGACATGAGGGAGTAGCATGTGGAGCACATATAAGGATTCCTTTTTGAGCAGTTAAAGTTTACAAGGGCAGGTAACAGACACACAAGTGGAACTGTCTTGGATCGGGGTGGGGAGGGGAGGGGAGGGTCACCTACAGAGGCTGCGTGGAGAGGAACGAGAAAGGTGTCTGGTATCCCGGGGTGCGCAGAGGTGGAAAGACAAGCAAAAGTGCCTGAGAAAGAGCCCCGTGCAAGGTCATACGCGGAATCCGGAAGAAGCCGAGGGAGCTGAGGGTTCGGGAAGGAGGCATGATCAAGCGCTGTCGATTCTGGGAGATTAGAGAGGTGCCGCCGTAGGTGCGGTGACAGAAAGTCCCGAGGACCCCAAGTAGCCATCTCCCGACTCAGACGGACGAGCGCTGGAGCGAGGGATGAGCAGGGAACCTGAGGCGTGGCGCCCAGAAGCGGCTCCTGGCGAGTTTTGCTGCCTAGGAACCAGAAACGAAGCACTCCTTCTTGAGGATGAGGAAGGGTGTTTAAAAGGCAGAGACGCTACCAGAGTTTAATTGGGGGTCGACGGGGAGGGATCACGGAAGGAAAAGGAAAAGAAACAACGGGAGAGAGAGAGGTCCGAGCCGTGAGAAGGGTAGAGCTGGCGGGGTCTGGGGTGTTTGGAGAGCTGGAAAGTTCACCTGCTCTGGAAACATCACTTATCTGAACTTCACAACCGCTCCAAAAGGAAAGTACTATTTTACAGAGTAGGATACTGAGGCTCAAAGAAGTGAAGGGACACGCCCAAGGTCCCACATCTCACAGGACAGGACCTTCCTCCGTGCGGGGACCCCGCGTTCCGCGTTTTGGCCCCGCGGCTCCTGGGGACTCTGAACAAGACCCTTTTTTGTGTCCTGGCTGGGATGCCCTCTGGAGAGCCGCCCAATGGCGAGGAGGCCCCGCAGAGAGTGGGCCGGGCAGGGCGGGGTGCCCCCTCCACCCTAGCTCCGCCCCCGGCAGCGCGGGAGGGGGCGGGGGGCGGGGGGCGCGCCGTGCGGGCTTCGCTGGCGGCCGCACAGAGCTCGCAGTGCGGCCCGCGCTTCCCGGCGTCGGCACACGGCCGTCCGTGCCCACCGTGCCCGTCCCGCCATGGCCGCGGCCGCCCTCCTATCCCGGCCCCGGCCACTGCCCCTGCTCCTGCTGCCGCCGCTGCTGCTGCTGCTGTTGCTGCTGCTGCTGCGCGCGGGCCGGGTGCGCGCTGACAGTAAGGTACGCCGGGCCCTCTGACCCGGGCTCAGCGCCGCGGGGAGCCGGGCGCGAGGGGGCGCTGTGGCTAGGGTACCGCCCAAGGAGGGTGTCGGGCCAGGAGAGGAGGACCAGGACCTGGAGACCCGACGGGCTCAGCAAGGAAGCTGCTGGGGCCAGGACTCAGGGAGAGGAGCGCGTGGGGAAGAAGCGCTGAAGATGGTAGGAGTACTTGGGACCTGGGACCCAGTCCAGTGCGGGGAGAAGGTCAGCACTGAAACTCAGGGCCAGGGAGAGGGGGCCCTGAGAGTTTGGAGGGGGCGCAGACAAGAGATGCAGCCCCCAGCCCAGAAAGGGGATTCCCAGGAGCGCTGGGCAGGGGCAGTCTGGCTGAAAGTTTCCACGGCAGGCTAACCACGTGGGGTAGACTCCTGGGTAACTACTACCCAGGGATTCCTGGATTTGCAGCAGAGCCTGAGTCAAGGCTTTCAGGCCATGCTGGGGATCCAGAGTCTCTACCCAGTGAACTCAGTGGGCTGGCCGCTTGCCTGGCCTCTGGTAGTCCTGCCAGGGGTCTAATGTGCCTTCTGGAGGACACCTTGTTTCCGGGAGGGACCTGAGCTGTTGTTCTCAGTTGTGGCTAAAAGGATCTGCTCTGGGGTCAAGCAGACCTGAGTTCAAATCCCACCTCCGTCTCTTATCTGGGCGACCTTGGGCCTTTACCTCTCTTAGCCTCCATTTCCTCGCTTGTAAATATGGGAATAATAATGGTTCGCATTTCCTGCAGTTGGTGTTCTTAGTGAGGTCACGACTATAAAATGTTTAGCACCACACCTGGTACCTAGTAGGTGCTCAATAAATCATACTGTAATTAAGAAATCTTACCAGTGGAACCCAAAAGGAGAGGAGATCCAGAATGTTGAGAGAGCAAGCACTTAGAACCAGTCAGAGCAGGGACCCCTTGAGGGTGTTCTGGAAACGACCCAGTAAGGAGGAGGAGGGGACTGGGAATGAGTGAAGGGAGGGAAGAAGGTCGGGCCCTGCTCGTACAGCATGAGAACAAAGGAGTGACTTTTTTTTGGTGTCTCCCTAGCCTCTTTCCTGCGTAGAAGGTGAGGCTGCACTGCCCACAGGCAAGGTAAAAGGCAGAAGCCACTAGCCACATGATAAGTGTATGAGCAGTGGGCACTCACCTCACTGTGAAGATTTGGCTCAGGGTATGAAAACAAGTGAGCTGCGGTCCTGACCATGTGCTCCAAAGACAAGAAGGGGATGCGTATCATTCTTATTTTACAGATGGGAAACTCAGGTGTATAGAGAAGTGGCCAGCTTGTGGACCCAAAGACCTAGGTTCTGACCCTTTGTTGTTCTCTGATCCTGTGACCTTGGGCAAGTCACTGCCTGACTCTGGGCTTCAGTTTCCCCATCTGACAAACAATCTCTGTCCAACTTCCTTTCTATGTAGGGCCTTCTCCGATTCCCTGACCTGGCTCAGGTAGGGGAACAATAAGCAAAAAAAAAAAAAAAAAAACCAAAAAACGAAAAACCCCACACAACCTGATGAGTGCTTTGCCCCTCCCATCTCTCTGGCTGGGAGGATTACTTGGTCCTGGGCATCCTCTGAGCCCTGCAGAGGGCTGTAGAGCTTGTGGGGGAGGGCTAACATTCAAAACAAAGCAAAGACAAAGAAAACCCAACAGCCTGTTTATGTAGTGAGTCAGCTAAACACTTGCTAGGTTGGGGTGTGTGTGTGTGTGTGTGTGTGTGTGTGTGTGTGTGTGTTTAGCTGTTCCAGGGCAAGCTGGGGCTGGTGGGGTAGGGAGGTGCACCCTAGAGCCTGCAGGATGCAGTGCAGCCCTCCTTCAGACACCTCCAACCCCACACCACTTCAGCCAGCTGGGAAAAATAAAAATCAAGTGATGGGTGAATTTACTCTGCATTCCTCAGCACAGCCGGTCTCCTGCTGGCCCTACCGAGAGAGCTGTTTTCATTATCACCCTCCCCCTCCCCCATAACCATCCTTCCTCTCCAAGCCTGTCCTATTTGGGGGAGGAGAGAGCCCTTCAAGGGCCAGCTTGGGACTTGAAGTCTATATATGGTCCTAAAGGGTTAAATTGGCCCCCACCTTAGGCTTCCTGCTCCTGGGAGGTTCGGCCTCCCCCCACTCCTGCCCCACACTTTCAGAGGTACAGGGGCAGCTGAACCCTAGTACTCACCACAGAACTCTGTGGTGTCAAGGAGTTCCTCACTCAGAGTGCTTTAATTTATAGCAAGTGTTTATAGCAAGGTCTCTCCTAAACAGGACTTGGAGTTTTCATCTAAGGAAGTGCTTTGTCCAGCATGGGAGTGGGAGAAGGGCTTCACAGATTCCTCAGCATTTCCGAGGGGCTTTCCAGCTTGGAGGGACAGACAGGTAACCACATGTGGCACCAGAGACTTCAAGGAACCTGCTTTCTGCTGTATGCCCTTGGAATGTGGCTGAGAATTCCCCATTGCTACCTCAGTTGCCCCATCTATGAAGGGTGCTTTACTTCTATGCATCCAGGTATGACAAGGGGTGGGGAGTGTCTTTGGTCATCCTACCAACCAGGGGTCCAAGGACAGAGGGTAGGCCAAGGCTTGTGAAGACTGGGCCAGGGGAGCAGGAGGGGCTGGCACAGGCAGGATCAGATGTTCTAGGCCAGGCTGGTCTCTGGGGGCTTCGGTGTTGTTGCGCCTCCGCTCGGGGAGTTTCTGCCTGTGGGTGTAATTGAAAACAGGCTCAGGGCAGGCAGGGGATACAAGTGATGAAGTGCTCCTTCCATACACAAAGAGTGTGGGGCCAGGCTAGGCCCCACAGGGTCTTTACACAGGGAAATTCTTGCCCCAACATTCCTGATGGCTGGACATCCAGAAGAAAGTACTGAGAAACACCCTGTGTGCCAAGCCTCATGCCCAGCACTTCAGTTCAGAATCTTACACAGCCCTGCTGCCAACCTCTATTTGACAGGCTGGAACACTGAGGTCAAAAGAGTCAGGTTGAAGAGTTTGGAGAATCCTGGGGTTACAGGATTCTGAGCCTTCAGTGGGCATCCAGATGGCCTGGGGAGCCTCAGAGTCTGAGTTAAGGAGTGTGGACTCAGGCCAGGGCATCTGCATTTTCCAAGTGTACTTCAGGTCATTCCAGGGCACGTCCGTCCAGTTGAGAACTCATGGAGATACAGGGAGCCATGGAGGTTTGTGGAGCAAGAGAGTAAAGATCAACAAAGAGAGCTTCTGGAAGAAGCTAGTAGAGAGGAGGCTGCTGTGTTTCTAGATAGCAGTTAATGTGGTCTAAACCTGGGCTATGGTCATGGAGTGGAGGCCCAGGGATAGAGATGGGAGATAATTAGGATAAAAAATTGGAAGAACATGACTGATGGCTTGTCCTGTGTAAGACGGGGGCTCAGAGATCTGGGTTGGGTGGGAGGGTAGGTAGACATCAGTTGAGAAAAGATGCTGGGTCCAGTTGTGGATGGCTTACTTTTGCGGGTCCTTGCCATCCAGGGAGGTGTCCAGCCGGCAATAGGCCCCAGGGGAGGTCTTTGCCTACAGGACACGAGACTGGCTCTTAAAAGTGAGTCTGGGATGGCCATGAGAAAAAAAGGAAGACTCCACCTCAAGGCGACACAATTTTAATCTGTTCATTTCTAGAACATTTCACAGTGTAAACCCTCCCCTGTCCACTGTGGCCAGATTTATCCACCTTCAGAAAAATCTCAGCTATGCCTTCTTACAATCTCATTGTACAATTTCCTTGCAAATACCTAGGGACGTTTTTTGGTTTGTTTTTAAATGTTATTTATTTTGAGAGAGAGGGAGAGGGAATGGCATGCAGGGAGAGAGAGAAGGGCAAAGAGAGAGGGAGAGAGAGAATCTCAATCAGGCTCTGCACTGTCAGCACAGAGCCCAACACAGGGCTCGATTCCACAAACTGTGAGCTGAAATCAAGAATCAGACAGTTAACTGACTAAGCCACCCAGGCACCCTCAAATACCCAGGGATGTTTTTAGCATGAACCACCCACACTTCTAGGGTGTGAGGCAGCAGGTGTGTGCTGAGTGAGGCTATAGAAAGAGATGTGGGCCAAGGCAGGGACTTTCCTGCTTCACAGCACCTCCAGCCCTCATGCCAAGGGCAGGGTGGGCCAGGTCCTCTGCCTTCCCCTGTGACCCACCCCGGGCCCCCTTTTCTGTCCCAGCCCAGTTGTTGTTGTTGGAGAAACCCTTGCCTATTGATTATGGATGGTCATGGGAGGAACAGCAAGTAAACCAGTTTTAGAGTCAAGCTGTTCTTAGTGACCCTGGACAAGCCTCTAGTGGTCTCTGATACTCAGATTTCTCTTCTGTAAGAGAGGGCTGTGATGAGAGCAAAGAGAGGTAGAAAATGATGTGAAAATGTGAGGGAGGGCTGTTGGCGGCTACTTGAATAGCAGGAACCCCTTAAAGAGCAGTTACTCTGTGCCAGGCTTGGTGCCAGGTGCTCTGCATGCATCTTGACTCATTTCAGCCTCAGGTCAAGCTTATGAGGCAAAGATTGTTACCCTCCCCATTTTATGGAGGAGGACGCAGAGACTCAGAGCAGTCAAGGCCATGCAGGGGAATGGAGGAGCTGGGATTTGAGTCTGGGTTTGGCCCCTCACCATGATGCTTTGCTGCCTCCAATCGAGCATTGCAGGCCCCAGTAATCACCATAGGGAGGGCCTTGCCTAGGCTCCTGGCAGCCGGGGCTGGAGCAGAGGCCCTCTTCCAATCTCTGGCAGGTATCAGGGCCCCGGCCGCCCACCTCAGGATGTAGCACCTCATCTGGGGAGAGAAGGAATATTGCAGTCTGATGTGGAGGCTGCTGCTGGTGGGGGTGGACATTGGGATTATGAGTGGGTCCCCAGGAGCAAGCCTCTCTGGCCTGGCCACACAGAATACATCCACATCCACCCACTGGGGACTAGCGGGCGGGGGCGGGGGGTGGTTGGAGGTCCCAGCAGAGGTGGGAAGGGGGCCTAGGAAGCTGGAAGAGAAGGCAGGCTTAATGTACTGGCCAAGATCTAAGGAATGCGCAGGACCCCTAGCCTGGCTGTCAGCATTCACAGGCAAGGGAGAATTGCCCCCGAAGTGCCCAGGGTACACTCCGCCCACAGAGGGCCCAGGACAAAGCTACTGGTGGTTTCCTCCTTCCCCACCCTCCTTGTCCCCCAGGGGACTGGAAGTCTACCCACACTGGGCTCTAATCCCCTTGAACAAGACATTTGATGGCTCCAGGGCTCAGTTTTCTCGTCTATAGGACCCTGCTAAGAATATCTACCACTGTATACACACAGAGAAAGAAGCAGAAAAACAACCCCTTTTCAGGATTATTGGTAGTAATAATAACAGCTACAATATACAGAGTGTGCTGTGGGCTCCTGGTACCAGACAGAGCATATTCCTGGCGTTCCATCTCTCAGTCCTCACACAGTCCTTTGTTGGGTAGACACTAGTAGTACCCTCATTTTACAGATGAGGAAACTAAGGCACAGAGAGTTTAAGTAATCTACCCAAGAACACACAGCTGTAGGTGGGCTATGGTTGTTGCCTAAGCACTGGCCCTACACTCCCCCAGTGCTTAGTGAGTTCTCAGTAAATGTCACCTCCGGGATCTGTGCCCCAGGCTTGCCTCCTCCATCCACCATCTCTCCACGAGACAGCCCAAGTGAACGTCCCATAATGCAGATCTGACCCTGGCTCTCCCCTGCTTAAAATCTTTCCATGACTCCCCAGTGTTTTTAGGAAGAAGCCAAGATCCTCAACCAGCTTTCAGGGCCCTCCACGAGCTGGTCTCTGCCACCCCAGGGTTCCTGCCATGATGAAGTACCAGCCAGAATGAAGCTCCCCCAGACCCCCAAGTGCCAGGCTGTTGCTCATCCTTCCATGTCTGATTTGCTGTCTCTTGAATGCCCTTCTCACTAAAGATGCCCCCCCAAGGGTGCCCTCTTCTGAGCAGTCTTCCTGGGTGTCTTCCTGTGTGTTCTCAGAGCCCACTCTGCCGGCTTCTCATATAGCAGGAAACCTCAAAAATGTATCTCAATCTATTTCTTCTGCACCTCCAGCTGTCACCCAGGGTCCAACAGAGGCTCCAACAGGTGTCTGACAGCTCAGAACAGATATGGAGAACCTTTGGCCCTTCCTCCGAGGGCCCTGGGACACTCAAGGGTGCTGGGGTTGGCAGAAAGCCCAAGGGAGCCATGAACTGAGTCCTGGTGGCTTCAGTGAGAGCTAAGTGGCCATGAGGTGTTTGTTGCTTGAGCAAGAGCTAAGAGCCTGGAGCCCAGGGTGGCCTGGCTGAGCCAAATAGGGGAGTGGCCTACCAGCTCACAGCTACTAACCAAGTTGCAGACACCATGGTCTTAGCCCTGCACTCTAGCATTTCTGCAAAATGCAGGCTCATTTATCCAACAGATATTTACAGAGCATCTGCTATGGGCCATGCAGGCACTATTCTGTGGCATAGGAGAGAACTGAGCAAAGTCCCTGTCTCTAATGGCTCCTTCAGTAGAGTAAGAAAAAAGCAAGCAAACACAAATACTTCAGATGGTAATAGGTATAATAAAGAAAAACAAAGCCACTAGATAAGGGGACAGAGAGTAAGGGGAGGTGGGTAGTCTGGGAAGGCTTCTCAGATGAGGTGATGTGTAAATAACATGAGGGAATAAACCAAGGGAGTATCAGGGTTTCAGGATGTGGGTACCACATCTGCAAAGGCTGGAGTGGAGTAACCCAAAGGAAGGAAAGGGTGACGAGAGGAGGGGTTGGGGAGAGGCCATCAGCTCACCTAGGCCTTGAAGACCATGATAAGGCGGTAACTAGCCCCTCCCCCCATACACAGATATTAAAGGATGTGATGCACAGGAAAACTGAGATATAGTAAAATGCCCCATAGAAGGTCTTCATTCTTATCTTTTACTATAATGATAAAATACACATGATAAGTTATATGGAAACCAACTTGACAATAAACTATTTTAAAAATACGCATGATATTTACCATTTTAACTATTTTAAAGTGCACAATTCAGTGGCATTTAGTACATTCACAGTGTTGTGCAACCATCACCACGACTCGGTTCGAGAACACTTTGATGACTGCAACCATCACCACGACTCGGTTCGAGAACACTTTGATGACTCCAAAAGGAAACCCCGTGCCCATTAAGCAATTGTTCCCCATTTCCCCCCTCCCAAGTCCTGGCGACCACTAATCCCCTTTCTGTCTGTGGAGCTGCCTATCCTGGATGTTAATACAATATGTGGCTTTTTGTGTCTGGCTTCTACAACTTAACAGCATGTTGGCAACGTTCATCCAAATTGCAGCATGTATCAGTACTTTGTAATATTCCATTGGACAGACTCACTACTTTTGTTTACCCATCCGTGGATGGACATTTGGATTGGTTCCACCTTGTAACTATTGTGAATCCTGCTGCTGTGAACATTCACGGGCAAGTCTTTGTTTGAATACCTGTCTTCAGTTCTTTGGAGAAGTCATCTTTGGGCAATAATTCTATCTAGGAGTAGAATTACTGGGTCCTGTGGTAATTCCATGGGTTTTCAAGAGTTTAAAAAAAAAATTTTAAGTAATCTCTACAACCAATGTGGGGCTCGAATTCACAACCCTGAGAACAAGAGTCACAGGCTCAACTGACTTAGCCAGCAAGGCGCCCCAAAGGCCAAGGGCACTGGGTTCTGCTACCTGTCCCCTGTGGCTCCTCCTCTCTCCTTCTCCCCCCAGCACTGGCCTTCGGCTCACCTGAGCTCCTCTTGCAGGTGTTTGGTGACATGGACCAGGTGCGAATGACCTCAGAGGGCTCTGACTGCCGCTGCAAGTGCATCATGCGGCCGCTGAGCAAGGACGCGTGCAGCCGGGTGCGCAGCGGGCGGGCGCGGGTGGAGGACTTCTACACTGTGGAGACAGTGAGCTCGGGGACTGACTGCCGCTGCTCTTGCACGGCACCACCCTCCTCACTCAACCCCTGCGAGAACGAGTGGAAGATGGAGAAGCTCAAGAAGCAGGCACCGGAGCTCCTCAAGGTAGACTTTCGGGGGGATGTGGGGAAGGGAGTACCTCCTGGATGAATATCTAGCACGGACTGTCCTTTCAGTGAAAAGTCCACACACTGTAGGTAGGTGCTGTTGTTACCCCATTTCACGGGTGAGGAAACAGAGGCTCCCTGAGGGGAAAGCCACTTCTTGCCCAATACCATTTGCCAGTGATGGAGGCAGCATTCTTACGCTATTTACCCTGTGCTCTAGCGTGTCTGCACAATGCAGCCTTCTTTATGCAACAGATATTCACAGAGCACCTACTATTGGCCAGGCGGCTACCGTTTGGGGAATAAAGGAGGGAACTCATTGAGGTCCGTGCCTTGAGTAAGGGAGACAGAAGAGTAAGGGAGACAGAAAATAAGCAAACGAGATATATACTTTATCACCTAGTTCAGTGTCCTATATTTCACCTAAACCAGTTCATCTGTCAGCACCTCAGAATATAGTATTTTAAATTTTAAGTTTCATGGCATTTTATTGTTCTTAATGTAATAACACCATTTCCCATATTCAACCACCACCTGCATACCAGATGTTGTGCTAAGCTCTTTTTACAAATTTTTTCCTCTAAATTCTTGAAGCATTCTGGGAAATATGGAATCACTATCCTCATTTTATAGGCAAGAGAACTGAGGTTGGGGAAGTTAGGTAACTGGCCCAAGCTCTCACATAATGGCATGTAGCCTCGGGGTCTAAACCATACTTTTATATGAATGTTATGCTTACCTCCCTCCAGCCACCTCTATAGGCAGATCAGAAAAAAGCCCCACCTCCGGGGGGCCACCGCCCCATGCCAGGGCTTACCACCAGGACACATGGCTTGAATAGGCATGTGCAGGCTAGATCACAGTCCCCACAGCCAGCCAGCCAGGCACCTTTGTGGCATTCATAACACACCCAGCTCAGTGCTTGGTGGGGCTGGGATTTGAACCACGTACTGCTGTATCTGAAGCATGTGTTCTAAACCACATTGCTTTCCTGTTTTCCTTTCTGTAATGGACTAGATAAACTTGCTGTCTTTTGAGAGTATCTTTTTCTTTTATAATTTCTTCCAACCATATGACTATCTATTTTGCCTTTTTTTGGTATCAAGAACTGTGAAATTGTTACCCTACTTATAAGATAACAAGTCACCCTACACGTTTCATGGGCACTGGCAGAAGACACAAGCCTCCTGGGTCAGAGACTAAGGACTTTATTACTCACAGCAGCCAGAGTATCTATATTTTCTTGAACTGATTTTTCCAGCTCCACTTCCCATGGGGTGACAACCGGATGATGCCTGCACACACACTGGGTTATTTCTCAAGAGTGGAGCCCCAAGTTTAAAGAATCCAGATCTTTTACAATGGGCACTGAGAACACCTTCCCTACCCTGGAGGGAAACACTCTATATTCCAAGATTGTTCACCATACAATAAGATGTCCTGCAACAAAGACAAGACAGTCAGCGCCTCTGCATACACGACATGCAGAAAAGCAAGAGACCCGTGAAAAATTGTCTCCAACATTTGGCTAAATATATTTTCTTTAAATTTAACTTTCGTTTTATTTTTGTAACAATTAAATGGATACCAAAACTCTCAAAGCTGGGATAGGATTGAATTTGAGAGCAAGTTGCCTCTTAACAGCTTGTCAGTGCCTGGGGCGAGGGCTCTGCAGACTCCAGGCCCTGAGGCTATATAGGCCAGTCTTGAGTTATAGGGACAAACCCAACTTCTACTCAAACCCACTTCTCATTAAGTAAATTGTAAGCATACTTTATGTGACGATACACAAAATTTTTCATAAATTCTGGATAATTTAATCCTTGCCACAACCCTTTGGAGAGGGAATTTATGGTCCCAGCTCTACTTATGGAGGAATCTGAGGCCCAGAGAGGGATTGTGACTTGCCTAAGATCTCACAGCAAGCAACTGGCAGCACTAAGGTTTGAACTTAGGAATTCTCTTCTCTGTCCCCTTGCCTGTGGAAGGGGTCCCTCGGCAGCTTTCAGCCAGGAGCCCATTGTCCCTTAGCCCTTTTCAGTACACAGCAGCCATGATGGTTTTCGTTCAGTCTTGTAGGACCAGAGTAGGGTAGCGGTGAGATTGACCCAGTAGGTGGTGTCATAGGAGGAAGAAAAAATACCGTGTCTCATTCACACTGTAGGTGCAGTAGCAGGTACCTGAGAGGTACCCAGAAAACCCCAAGAGGAGAAGGGGACAGAGGCGGTATGAGACAGGACTGAGGGCTCTCTCATTAGGGTTAGCTCCTCCTCCTTCATCAGGAGGCTCTCTATGGGCAGCCCCTTCTAAGGGAAGCCCATGGAGGAGGGGGAGCAGGGCACACCCACGCTATACCCTCCCCTGTCTCTACCCCAGCCCTTTCTCTCAAGCTAAGAACAGCTGTGATTTGGTCTCCATTGCATGACTCTGAGTAGGAGGGAGAGGATTCTAGATTCCTTGGGAATGTTAGTGACAGGTGCATACCTTTCACTTCTTCACTCCCTTTCCTTCTGGACATGAACTAGACACGGCCCCACCCTTGAGGAATCCCCAGTCTTATGGGGACACAGCTCCTGACTCCAACAATGCCAGTGTCATTGGTGCTGGGCCACAGGATGTCCCAGGGACTGTGGGAAACCCAAAAGAGGAGGTAACACTAGAGCCGGGCTTTGAGGGCTTGGTAGGAGTCCCTCAGGCAGAGAAGAAATGAGGGCATTATGGGTGAGAGCAAGTGGAGTGAATTTGGCCCAGGATGGCTCCTTGCGCTCTCTCTACTCCAGCCCCACTAGCCACCTGTCAATTCCTCTAACATGGTGCTTCTCAATCTGTGGTGAAAGACAGATTTTTAAAAAATAAGAACCAGGGCACCTGGGTGGTTCAGTAAGTTAAGCATCCAACTCTTGATTTTGGCTCAGGTCATGATCTCAGGCTTCGTGAATTTGAGCCCTGCATCAGTGCAGAGCCTGCTTGGGATTCTCTCTCTCTCCTCTCTCTGCCCCTCCCTCACTCGTGCTTTCTGAGTCTCTCTCAAAATAAGTAAATAAACTTAAATTTTTTTATTTTTAAAAAAGGGCAGCCTTTAAAATTTTTTTAAATAAAAAAATAAAAACCAAGAACCAATTCTTTTGGAAAATGCCATAAAAATCAATTAATCGAAAAACAAAACAGAAAACAGACATGCAACATACAAATCCAGTGTTTTACTAGTAGAGTCAACAGATTAAAGATTTCTTTGGCAGAGGGATCTGCAAGTTTGTAAAAGTCTACTCTCACTTTTTGTCATTACTCTATCACAGATGAGCGATACACGCTTTGGTGGCATGGCCCAAACACACCGTGTTTCTTCTCCCCTCCAGCTCTTTACACAAACCGTTCCCTTGGCCTGGATTGCCCTTCTCCTGCCTTCTTTGCCTAATTTGGGCTCCTGCTGCAGAGCTCAGCTCAAACAAAACTCCCTCCTGGCATACTTCACTAATCCACATCTGCTCCTAGACAAGGTCAGTGTCCTGTCATTAATGATCTGGGCACCTCTCTGTTACTCTCTGTTCTTTGACAGCCTGTGAAGGACCATGAAGGCTTGCATCTGTCTTACTCATCACTGCCCTTCGTGCCTGGCCCAGAGGAGACATTTGCTGAAGCCAAAGATGATACAGGGGCAGAGCATAGAGGGCTCGAGTGCCAGGCTTAGGAAGTGAAAGGTCATATATGAGCACTGGGGAGCCATGACAAGCTATCTAGCAGGAGAGAGACCCATGGTCAAAGCTGTACTTTGGAAAGCTAGTTTTGGTCGCCATGAAGGCACCAGAGTGGATCTGGGAGGATCCCCTTTAGTCCCCTGGAATAGTATCATTATTGCTGATATTCATGAAGCCCTTGCAGCGTGCCCACTGTGCGGTGGCCTGTCCAGACACTACTGCGCCTGACCACAGCCCTATTGCCTCATTTCACAGAGAAGGAAGCCGAAGCACACAACAGCCTATGTGCATGGTTCTCAAACTGTGCTCCCCTGAGCCCAAGGGGTACCAAGCAACTCTTCAGGGTCTGAGCCTTCAGGGTCTGAGGTTACAGGGGAGCAGACAAGACTCAAGGCCCAACCCCTACTTCCGTGAGACTTCTCCACTCCCTTTTTCCATTTTAGAGATCAATGTCTACTCAAAGAAAAGATTTCTGGCTTAAAACAACTTGAACACCCCTGGGAGAGTGGGAGTAAAACTGTTTTGGAAACAGCTGGCCAGGGCCAGACAGGAGCACTGGCTTGCTCAGAGCCTGAGAAGTGCTGCATGTCTCGGAGTGGGGCCTTGCGAGAGAGTGGGCTGAAGGAACAGCCCTTCTCAAGAAGCCAGCGGAAGCTGCTTTCCAGCTGGCCCCCCTTACCATGGCTTCCCTAACACTCGCTGGCATTTCAGCCATCTAGAGAGGCCATATCCTGATGACGTGTGATGGAGATAGGAAGGGGAGCGACATCTGCAGGGAGGAGCCCTGAGCTGGACAAGGGTGACACAGCATCTGCCACTGACCTGTTTGTTGTGCAAGCTCTTCCCTTCTCTTGGCCTCTGTTTCCCCATCTGAACACAAGAAGGAATGGTAAAGCATGATAGGAAAGAGGTTTTGGGTGTATATCAATTCGGGATCTGCTGCCAGCCCCACCATTTAACAACTGGGTGGCTTTGGACAAGTCACTTCACCTAAACTTCAATCTCCTACTCTGTAAGATGAAAATAAAAGTTGTCCAGACTTTGTCAGAGTGCCTGACTGGCTCGGTTCGTAGAGCACGTGACTCTTGACCTCAGGGTCATGAGTTCAAGCCCCATGTAGGGTGCAGAGATTACTTTAAAAAAAAAAGGAAGGAAGGAAGGGGAGAGAGAGAGACAGAGAGAGAGAGAGAGAGAGAGAGAGAGAGAGAGAGA